AACTAATTGGTAGACTTTTGGTATCGGAAGTTGTATTTTGGCCGATTTATTACTCATAGCCAACCTCTTTGGTGGTCTTTTGGAATTTAGACGTCGCTTGTGTTTTGGAATTTAAAGCGACTCGCCATGGCTGTAAAAGGAACCGGCTTTGTAGATTTATAACATGATTGGTAGATTTATTGCAATATTGGTAGATTTATAACATGATTGGTAGATTTATTGCAATATTGGTACATTTATAACATGATTGGTAGATTTATTCATGAATGGTAGATTTATAACCTGATTGGTAGATTTATTGCAATATTGATAGATTTATAACATGATTGGTAGATTTATTATTGTAAAATAGTAGAGTTTAGATAAAACAAGTTCCAGATTTACAAGTACATAAAACAAGGTTTTCAAGCGGATTATTGCAGTCTATAATAGTACAAATACAAGGTTTTGGATTTGTCAACTAAGCTCGACAAGTTAGGCGATTATGTCCGCCTTGGCCACAGTTACCACATTTGGGGATCTTCCGAGGACGTTTACTCGCCATGGCGGCCTCGAACGCACCCTTAATCCGAATTTTCTTTGGCCTGCCGGGTCGGTTGCGAACATCAGGCGGGAGACAAATTTTGGTTGCTACTTCATCTGGCACAGGGAGTGCTACGTCTCTTGGCATCACACTAACAGCATACGCTTGTTGCAAGTAACTAGTGTGGTAGTAATGATGGCAAAGAGAGATTGGCGACAACTTCCTCCTATCGGCGGCGGCTATGACATGTACGCAAGGAATTTTATCCAAATCAAACCGTCGACAAGTACATGTTTTCTCCGTTAAATTGACAACATGTGCAGATGTTGTGCCTAAAACCTCTGTACGATGCTGATCAATCTCTTGCACAGTTTAGCATCTTCACTCTAGCCTGTCGGCAAGGAATTATTTAGAAGTTATAGAAGTCTACCACATAGAAGTAATAACTCTACCAAATAATTGAAAGTCTACTTAATAGCAGAGATAAGTGTACCAAGTCTACCAAATAATAGAAAGTCTACCTAATAGCAGATACAAGTCTACCAAATAACAGAAAGTCTACCTAATATCAGATACAAGTCTACCAAATAATAGAAAGTCTACAAGGTAAAGTAGTGTCTACCTCCAGCAACTTTTCAACGCCCGTTGTTAGAGTGGTAGCCATGTTATTGGCATTCACACGTCTTTTAGCAAACCACCTGGTCAGGAGACTCCTTATATCATCCACTAGTCGTACGATAGGCTTACCTCTTGCAGCAGATAGCACCTTGTTTAATGACTCCGCTATGTTGCTAGTGGTGAAATTGTACCTATCACCTTGGAAGTGTACACGACTCCACATACAAATATCTGCCTTCACCAAGTATGCATGCAGTGCAGGATTTGCCTCTTGAATCTGAGCAAAAAGGGCATTGAACTCGAGAAGTCTATAAGCAATGGCAGCCTTCTTAACAAGCTTGAATGTTTCAGCGCCTCTGAATTTCACCATAATGTTCTTATGGAGATGATATGTACAAATACCCCGACTAGCAAGAGGATAAACCTTCCCTATAGCATTTCCTATGGATTTATGCCTATCAGAAATAATGGCAAGTCCTTCATCATCAGGAATAACACGGTGTAGTTGTGTAAAAAACCATTCCCAAGACTCATCGTTCTCAGTATCAACAACAGCAAAGGCTACGGGAAAAATGTTGAAGTTTCCATCTTGCGTGGTGGCGAGTAGTAGTGTACCTTTGTATTTTCCATGTAAAAACGTACTGTCGACCACTACCACTTTCCTCATGAAGGGAAACCCCTGTATGCTTGCGCCAATTGAGAGGAACATAAATTTGAATCTATCTTCCTCATCAACTTCTCGCTTGATTAGTGTACCCGGATTTGCCCGCCGAATCATATATAAGTATGAAGGCAGATCTTCATAACCACTTTCAGACGTCCCTGATACTAGTTCTCGAGCATACTTTAGGGCCCGATGGGCTTTCCAATAGTCAACCTGAAAATGAGAATAATATAGTGAAGTCTACGAAATAAGATAATAACTCTACCAAGTGAGATAATAACTCTACCATAAAGATAATAACTCTACCAAGTGAGAAAATAACTCTACCAAATAAATTATATAAGTCTACCAAATAAATTATATAAGTCTACCAAATGACCTAATAACTCTACCAAAGAAATAATATAAGTCTACCAATAAACTAATAACTCTACCAAAAAAAAAAATATGTCTACCAATTGAGGTAATAACTCTACCAAAAATAATAAAAGTCTACTAAAATAGATAATAACTCTACCAGAGAAGTAATATAACTCTACCACATACCTTTATACTATATCGTTTTGTCAGAGCTTCGGCGACGTGATTTGGTAAGACTTTTGGGCCAACACCTCCGACGAATTCTTTATATAGACGGCCTAGAACCTCATGGGTTGCATGGCGGG